TGAGTATAAAGATACTGGATCTTAACCAAGCATACTTCAGAGTTAATCTCCTCCTTTGTCATCACAAGGGTTCCCAACTCTGTGATTTCTTTGGGTGAAATTAAGAAAGAAAAAAAAAAAGGTTTAATTCCTTCTTTAGCCTGTTCAGGAAAAAAGTCGTTTCAGGTACATTTGTAAGCTAAGTTTATGAAGTTGTTAAAATTTGTTCAAAAGAAGAAATATTCCAGAGTTTCATAGTCTGTGCAGATTTTCTATCCCTTCTTTGTATATAGAAACAGAGAATAATTTGGATTAGAAGGGACCCCAGGATGATCGTGGGTCCCACCTCCTGTTTGTGTCCATTACGCTAGTCCTGTCACTATGCACTTCTGACAAGAGTCTGGCTCCGCTTCTCTGTAGCCTCCCATTAGGTAGCTGCCAATAGCCACGAGCTCTGTCTGCCCTTACTCTTGTCTTCTTCAGGTTGAACAAATGCATATAGCTCTCAACCTTTCCTTTTATGTTGTCCTCCAGCCCCCTGACCATGTTGGTGGCCTTCCTCCACCCTTTCTTACACTGGGGAGCCCTAAACAGGACAGTGCTCCAGCAGCAGTCTCACAAATGCCAAATAGAGGGGAAGACTTGCTTCCCTTTGCCTCTGGCTACTATTGCTAATACAGCCCAGCTTGGAATTGGCCACCTTTCCCACAGGGATGCGCTGCTGGCTCTTCCACATTTCCACAGAAAAGGACCACTGTGTCATATGATGCAAAGCTGCTTCCTAGCCAGTCAGACCCAAGCCTGTAATGGTCTATTCCATGGTTATTCCATAATTATTTACATAAGGCATCCATAAAATTCAGTTTATTCTTGTTTCTAAAAATGTTTTCATGAGGATACTTGAAGAGAAGTTGAACAGGAAGTAATTCAAATTTTTTTTTTTAGCATGAAAGATGGCTAAACTGAAAGGGAGAGGGTCACACGTTTTGCAGCATCCATTCTAAATAAAAGTGCTATATGTAACCTCTCTTGACTACTGAATTGTGTCATTATGCTATTGTAAAGAAAAAAAAAAGAATATATTTTTGTGTCTAGTGTGTGAACCAGAATTGTCTTTTAAAAGTTGAATTAAAAGAATATTCTTAGTACATAGTAAGATTTTTTTTTTTTTTTTTTTTATTTTGACACAATATTCGTCAGGCTAGGCTCATTAAAAACAAGGATAATTTTGATTACTTATTCAAACCTTTGTTAAGCTGGTATACATGAATTTGCATACATGTAGACTTAAAAGTAACCTTTTAGGTGAGAATTACAAGCATGGGGTATTGCCTTTAGGAATCTTGTACAGCTTAACAAACTTATTACAGTTCACATCAGTATCCCATTGCGTTAACTGGATTTAATTCTGAGGTCTGTGTTCTAAATCATGTCAGCTTTGACTTCATTGCTTTTCAGTTATATCTAGGGAATCAAGTGTTCAAATAAGTTCTGAGAAACTGTAGTGTAAATTAATAAATACAATTTTGCTGATTCACAAGACGGTTCTCTGGGTAAGAAAAGCAGTGCAGCTTTTAGTTTGACACAGTACCTTTAGTATGTCCTTGATGGTGTGTTTTTTCAAATGCATTATTTGGCAGCTTTCTTAGCAAGCAAGTGTGAAGTATCTTTCAGTTCTACCTACTATATCTCTCAAAGAAAGTATTGTTCAGTTTAATGTTATCTAAGAAATCCATGAAAGTGTTTTTTAGTGAAAGTATGACATGTTCTTAACATACTAAGGTCTCGCAGACTGAAAGTTCTACTGTCTTCTTCTTCTTGCCGCCACTTAGCTTCTACCTTTTTTCCAATTACACTGAAAGCATACATTTCACTGCACTCATTTGCCATTAATTTTGCCTCCTACTGTTACCGGAGTAACATCGTATTATTCTGGCTAGAGGTGTAATGCCTATGGCCGAAGCACTCTGGACACGTTTCATCTTGTCTAATCTTGGAAGCAATGAAGGGATGGGCCTAGATAGTATGTGGGTGGCAGACTAAGGAATTTTGCTTGGGAATATTGGGTGCTCTAGGCTTTGACCTGGATGATGGAGCAGAGTGCACCCTCAGCAAGATTAGAGCTGACACAAATCTGGAAGGAGAGACTGATACACCAGATGGGTGTGCTGCCATTCAGAGGGACCTCAGCAGGCTGGTGAAATGGAAGGGCATTTCTGTTCCTGGGCAGACAGGAACCTCATGAAGTCCAATCAAAGGAAATGCAAAGGCCTGCACCTGGGGAGGAATAACCCCAGGCACTGGTACACACTGGGTTAGGGAGCAGGCGGCCGGATGGAAAGCAGCTTGGCAGAGAAGCACCTGGGGTCCTGCTGGACAAAAAACTGAACATGAGCCATCAATGTGTCCGTGTGGCCAAGGCAGCCAACAGCCTCCTGGGCTGCATTGAGAAGAGTATTGCCAGCAGGCTGAGAGAGGTGATCCTTCCCTTCCACTCAGCACTGGTGAGACACCCCTGGAGTGCTGGGTTCACTTCTGGGCTCCCCAGTACCAGAGAGATAGACAGGAATATACTGGAGCAAGTCCAGTGAGAGGCCACAAAGGTGATCAAGGGATTGCAGCATCTGACCTCCGTGGAGAGGCTGAGAGAGCTGGGACTGTTCAGCCTGGAGAAGAGAAGGCTCCAGAGCGATCTTATCAACGTGTAGAAATACCTGGTGGGGGAGAAGAAAGAAAACTGAGCCGAACTTTTCTTAGTGGTGCCCACTGAAAGGAGAAGAGGCAATGGGCACAAACTGAAGCACAGGCAATTCCATTTAAATATAAGAATTTTTGTTTTACAGTGAGGGTTATCAAACACCGGAATAGGTTTTCCAAGGAGGCTGTGGAGCCTCCATCCTTGGAGATGCTCAAAACCTGACTGGACACAGTCCCAAGCAACCTGCTCTAGGTGACCCTTCTTTGAGCAGGTGGGTTGGACTAGACAATCTCCAGAGGTGCCTTCCAACCTCAACTATTCTGTATATCTCTGATGTGCTTTGGCTATCTACTCTAGCTTATTTACCTTCTTAAGGTGTCTTCCTTCACAATTATGTCAACACAGGATTGTTTATCAGGATAAATCTGTTTTCTTTAAACAAAATAGTTTACTGTAGAGTTTTAGACTCTGAAATAGTTTCCAATTCCAATCATGTTCTATTCCAAAGCACTGCTTTGATCCTTTCCATTCAGTCAGTGCTGAGTATAATCAATGTAGTTTCCTTCAACAGAAGCAGCGTTTAGTTTATCCACTCTCCTGCTGATTACCACTTTTCTCAAATCTTCATCCTTCCCAGACAACACTGAGGCCCCTTAGTGTTCACATAAGAGCCATTTCTGCTTCAGAAACCACTTTGTTTCTCAGACAGCTTCTCTTTGCTCTCGTCTCATGTACAGTGAAGATGGTTTACATCAGAACTGTTATCAGTGTTCCTTGAAGAAGAGCGCCGGTTCCTTGCACATCTTGCTCTCCAGAGTCTGACAAACTTGTCTGAAGGTTTTTGCCCTGTAACCATACTAGGTAGAAATGTGATAATCCTGGCAGTTTCTTAAATCTTGTTGCAAGTTCATTAATAGTTCTTCAATCTATAGTAAGGTAAGGCTTGCCCCTTCTTCCTGCTAAGTGATTATTGTAAAGAGACCTCTGCTTTTGCAGGTAGGGGCTTTCAGTGTTACAAAGCTCAAGACAACTAGAGGAGAGATGGTAAAGAGATGGGCAAGATCCTCTGTGGTACCACAAACATCTGCAAGCTGAGTAGGAACGAGGCCAGGAAGGTTAAGATACCATTGCATTTCTCCCAAGTGATGTTGTCTTATCACTGTTTCTTATTAAAAAAAGCAATAATTCAATATTACTTCATATTTTGGTTGTATTGGAACTTTTCTTTTATATAGATTTTTCAGATTCTTTTGAAGGGGTATTCCATGTATCTAATTTTAATTTACTTCAGTGCTAACACCTAAGGCTTGATTTTTATTATTAAGGCCTAAATGTCTGCTTTTGCAGATCTGAGCATTAAATAAAACAGGAAAGACAAGAGGGAGTTTGTGGACTTTATGAGAACATATTATGAATGCTTGAACCCGTATCAAGCAAAAAAAAAAAAAAAAGAGTATTTGGCAAGTAGATGTTTTATTCACATTCACTTATGTACATGGCTATGTTCTAAGCTGAAAAAAAATTAGAAGAATATGAATCTCCTGCAGCATTGCTGTGCTGCCACCTGTGGATGTTTCCAAAGTATTGCTTTGCCCTTTTGGTGGGATATTAGTGATTAGAGCTCTGTGGGAAAAGTTTTTTTTTCTTTTGCAGTGAAAACCTGAGAGTTCGCAAAGTTTTCATTTTGTGATTCAAAAATAGGAGAAGAATGAAAGTAAATGTTTTAATTAAAAACACTTCTTTTTTTTTCCCACATTTTCATTTTTATGTTTTTTCCATCAGTGTGATTATATATACTTGAGTTTTGAACGACAGCTGTTGTGAGCTTTGCAGTGGAGTATTTCAGCAGTTTTCTTTCCTCAGAAAGCTGATTATCATTCCCTCTACAGTTACTTATGGCTGTGAGTTTATCCAGACAAAACCTAACATCTTTCACTGAAACCTGAAACGATTAAGTTTCTAGTGCTCTGTTTCAGTTGCCATAGGCATACGGAGTTTGGGTTAAGGGGTGTATTAGCTGAGCGCTTTTCACCACGTCTGACACTAAGCGCTTCAGACAAAAGTAGGATAGACAGGTGTAAAGTAGTTCACTTTTTCTCCTGTTACTTGGATCTTTCTTTCAGTCAGTCAGCTCTTGGTCTTTTATTAGAAGGCTGAAATATGAAATTTCAATATCCCTTGCATAAAGTTGTTATTAAGTAGGACAGCTGAAGAACCATGATGCTTATAGGAACACTCAATTTTTAATTCAATTTCATGATCTTACTGTCTGCTTCTCATTTCCCCAGTTCACTGGCATAATAGGTAATGATGTTTTCTTTGCTTTGAAATTTTATTTTTATCATTATTTCTATGTAGTAACCCTTATGGGATGTGAATAAATTTTTCCTCATTACCTTAGGATCATAGGATAATTCAGGTTAGAAGGAACTTCAGAAGGATTCTAGGGCAACCTCTTGCTCAAAGAAAGGTTGGGTCTAAGGTCAGACCAGGTTGCCCAGGGCTTTATCCAGTTGGGTCTTGAAAACCTCCAAGAAGGCTGCACAGCGTCTCAGCTCCACTGCTTGACTGTTCTTATAGTGAAAACTTTTTTCCTTGTATCCTTAACCTCTTTTGTTTCAACTTACATCCATTGTTTCTTGTCCTCCCACTATGCACCACTGTGAAGAGCCTGGTTCTATCTTTTCCTTAACTTCCCTGTAGGTACTAGAAGACTGCTCTTGGGTCTTCCTGAAACAGTCTCTTCTGCAGGCTGAACAAGCCCTAATGCTTCAGCCTTTTCTCACAGGGCAAGTGCTCCCAGGCCACACACTGTCTTGGTGGCCCTCTTTCTTCATTCATTTTATTTTTGTTTTATCAATTAAACAATCAGAGTCCTTGCAAACTCTTTTATCAGTGTTTTCCCATACTTAAATTATATGGATTTAGAGAAGCATAACGTGACTATTTTTATTATTGTTTTTCCACCTATATGAAGGTTTCATAGGACAGGTAGACTTGCTAACAAGATCATAGTCTGGTATGGAATTACAGTATTCCAGTGAGGCTACAGCATTGATATGTATAAAAGGCACTAAAAATAAAGATTATTTATTGTTCATTTTCCTGTGCATCTTAATGCTCCTACGCCTTACTAGTTACAGCTGTCCTCTCTAAACAGTAGACTATATGTGTCTTTACAGGTGATTAGGTCTCCTTTTTGACTCAGTAGTTTAGAATGCATGCAGTGATGCATGAAACAGTTGATGCACAAATTGTGTGAAGCATTGTTTCGTCCAGTCACGTTGTTTGTCTAATTTTCTTGGAGGTTGATTATGATCCCTTGATACTGATTACATAAATAGTTGTTATCCACAGATTGCTTTGCTACAGAAAAATCTTTTTTTTTCCTTTTGTTCCAAGTAATTAATATGTAACATGAAACTATAATTTCAGTGTTAACTTTTGTCATGCTGAAGATCGATCCTTCTCTTCTGTGGTTTGTCTTGTCGTCTTGGAGTTTCTTTCTACATTCTGTTCCATCTTTTCCCATGATCATTTAGCTAAACGACCAGTTTGGGTTCAGAGACTGAGCACTTTACAGAAGTTTTGTTGGTTAAAGAAAACTTGTGGAGATTGCAGTACCTGAAATGAAGTGCCATTCTGTTACCTCTTTAGTTCACAAAAGGTTTTCTGTAGTTTCACCATATTTGTTTAGCTTTTTTGGTTTCTATTATTCTTCATCTGTCGGTATACTTGTTAGTTTACCTATGTCTCTGTTTTAAAACAAACAAACAAAAAACCCAAAACCGCTAGGTTGAACAGGGCACATATATCTGATGACTTTGCTGTCTAGTAGATTGTCTTGGTTCTAATAATGGCGTTTCTTTTGTTTATGTTTTCCATAAGGCTTCCTTGATAACCTACAACATACCACATCATGAGAAAATAAGAATATAGGCTTCCTTTCAAATTGGCTTCTGGATGCTTTTTTCCCTGTGACTTTAATCATAATCTTAAATAGTTCTCCATTGTCAGTCTTTTCAAAAAGTAAACATGTTTGTAATTATTTAGCTTTGTCAGCTATGTTGAAAAGATCAGCGGATACTTGGCCAACTGTATTAGTTCCTTTATCAGCTACTCTTTTACAAGTTGTGGCATCTGATACTTTAGAGATGTCAGCTCTATATCTTAGAAATTGCCGTGTTCAGATAGGTACTTGTGCATTCCAGTACTACCATCAGTGTCACCTTATGTTGGAATGTGGAAGTTGTTATAAGGAAAAAGGGAAATTACCTGTAGTAATCTTCCTGACTTATACATATGAATATAAATTAATATTCTGAGAAAGTGACAAAACTAATTTATCAGCTGAAAACTAGAAAAAGATAAGTTAGTTTTTTGGTGAAACAACACTGTCAGCACATTGTGTAGTGCTTGACTAAGAACCTGTAGAAAAATTTACTATTTTTGCATTATTTAGTTCCTTGTTCTGGACATTACTCACGCTAAACTGATCAGCTGAACTGATTTGATTTCCTAAACCAGCCCAAAAGTAATCCAGAAAAAAAGTGAGGAGGAAAAATAGTTTTTTGACAGGTTAAGTGAGAGACTGTGTTTATTGTGCAATCAGATGAGGATCAGCAGGGAAGGGGCAGGACTTCTTTGGGCAGTAGGATTTGTCACATCATTCAGATTGAACATGCAATTTTACCTAAAGTGTAGTTTTATTTATAGGTAGTTTAGCATGGTTTGCACTGTATTGTTTCTGGGTATCTGGTGGAACTTGGTAGTCCATCAATTCATTTAGGTTGATGCTAAAAATTGATTGACCACTTCTGTGTGGATTTGAGAGACTGAATGTTTCTCCTCTTAGCTGCATGGATCAGTTCAGAACTGACAATACAGATCTGTGAGGTAGGGGGGGCTTGAGATCACCACTACTAGGAATGAAAGCTCTTTGCCATGTAGCAAGAGAAAAATGAGCTTTCTTCAACCCTCTGTGTCCAAAAGGGCCTGTAATATGAGGATTTTTTTGCAGTGTTGACAGCTCATCAAAGCTTTAGGTGAAAAGGGAGGGAAAGAAAGGAGTGCGATATGGCCATGAAACTCGGCTCTCTACAGCATATAACTGGTTTTCCTTTGTGATATTACAGAGGTATGATAGGCAGAAATAGGAATAACTTTTTTTGCCCTGCTCAATAAAGTTGTCATTCTTCTAGTCTCAATTGTTGCATCTTATGCAGTAGCGTATGTGGAGCTAAAATTTTTGTTCTTCCCCTTGTTTGCAGAGAGGCAGATGAGGCTGATGAAATATTTGACCTTTCTTGGAATCTTTAATGGAGGAAAGAATGCAGAAAAGCTTATAATATTTAATGAAGAAACTTTGCTAAATCTATATGCTAAGGCATGGCATGGGGATCATTTCTGAGTGATGGAAAAGGTTTTGTTTAAAGGAGTGTAATGAGGAGTAGCACACAAAAATTCAAAATGGTTTCCTAAAATTGTAAATACTTCAGTGATTACATCCTGCTGTCTCTAAGTGCTGACAGAAGAGACAAACTGGTACAGAGGATAAGTCATTATCTCAGTCTAAACCAAGGCCCTTACTTTCTTTGAACTAATTTCAGCTCCAAACAGGTTCACAAAATTTAAAAGAACATAGGAAGGGCTGCACCAATTCTGATTCAAGGTCCAGTCCATCTAGCATAGATTGCTGTCTTCAACGGCATCCATAAGCAGATGCCTAGGAAGAGAAGGAATAGGGCAAGCATCCTCACCTTCCCTTCCCTCCCACTCCTGCCAAAAAAAATCTCTCTGTTTTCAACTATTTTCTGCTCACATGTTGTTCTGAATGTGGTGTAATTTGATTTAATAAGCCCTATTGGCTCTGTCTTCCAAGTACCTATGCAGTCTTTTCTTGAGGCCCTGTAAACTTTGTGCATCTATAACAACTTTCAGCAAGGAGTTTCATGAAGCTACTATTCATGTATCAAAAACCATTCTTTTGTTTATTTTGAACCTTGATACAAATTGTGTTGTCGCACTGTGGTTGGCTGGACTACTATGTCTAACAAATTCTGATGGAAAGCTTTTGAAAAATATTATCTGTGCATAACTCGTAATGATAGCTGCAGCCAGTCTTGGTTTAAAACCATAATTTGTTTCTGGAAAAGACTTTTTTTTTTTCCCTTGTGGGCACTAGGCATTACAGTTTAAAGTATTGTTCATGACTGCTTTAACAAAGTTCAAACATTCTTTGTTCAAAACTAATTCCAATCACTGTTCTAAAAATTCTATGTTTCTATTTACAGTGTCTGAGCAACACACCTCCTCTTACAGAATACTTCCTCAATGATAAATACCAAGAAGAGCTGAATTTTGACAATCCTTTAGGAATGCGAGGTGAAATAGCAAAATCTTATGCAGAGCTTATCAAGCAAATGTGGTCAGGAAAATACAGCTATGTTACCCCAAGAGCATTTAAGGTCAGTAGGGAATATAACCTGAATGTACATTGTCAGTTTTGGTTTTGTAGTTTAAGTATACAAAACTTACGGAAATAGGCAAGAATGAGAATTTGAAGTAATATTCATCAGTATGCAGTCCATTCATTTAACCATTAAAACACTTGGATGTGTATTTAAATAAGTGTCAACTGCCCTTGTGCTTTGGTCTTTGAGAATTAGTTTTGGCTTCCTGTCTCCATTGAAAAGCTTATCTTTTATAACTTTAAGTTTTATCTTTTCAACTTTCTGCTGTAGCATCTCGGAAGTATCTATTCTTTGTAAAAATTAAGGTACCAGAAGTATTTGTTTTGGTTGTTTTGGTTTTGTTTTTAAGACACAAGTGGGACGATTTGCACCACAATTTTCTGGTTATCAGCAACAAGATTGTCAAGAGCTACTGGCTTTTCTCTTGGATGGATTACATGAGGATTTGAATCGAATTAGGAAAAAGCCTTACATTCAGTTAAAGGATGCAGACGGGAGACCAGACAAGGTAGTGTTTTTGGTGTTGATCGTCTTCATTTTAGTCAAGGCTATACGTTGCAAGATACTTCCACATGATTGTTCATTGAAGGGTTGGGACATTGATCACATGTTGCTTTTTCTGGAAGAGATTTCAGAAAAAAAGCTGAGACCTTAAAGTGGAGATCTTGTTCAAGTACCTGTGGAAATTTCTGTTTATTTGGAAGATAATTGGGAGGGTGGAGGGTGTTAAGGCTTTGTTAAGACCTTTTTGTTCAATTCAATGCTGAGTTCAGTTGGAAAAACAATTTCCCTTCTGTTGTTCTTTTATTCTTATATCTACAGTATGCAGCATTCTGTCCCTCTCCAATAATCTTACTTTAGGGAAACTCTTCTAGCATTGAGCTGCAAGTGTATAGATAATTCCGTTTGTTACGAGTATGAGTTACTTTGGATGGAATTTTTAGTTTTATTTGCTTTTGTCTTGCCCCAAGCCACTTGAAGTCTCTCTCAGACTATGTAATACCACTGACAGAATCTCTGTCCTAGGAAAAGCACACATCTTTTAATTCGTGACCCTGATAGTAGTAACATATCATACAGGATCCTTTGGAGTGAGATTTCTATGTTTAGGTGGTAACTGAGAATGTTCTGTCAAGCACTCTTACTAATAATTCTCACTATTCATTTCCTACTATTTTGTCGTGCTTTAATTACAGGTGGTTGCTGAAGAAGCCTGGGAAAACCATTTAAAAAGAAATGATTCCATCATTGTAGATATATTTCATGGCCTTTTTAAATCTACTCTAGTTTGTCCTGAATGTGCTAAGATATCTGTAACCTTTGATCCCTTTTGTTACTTGACACTTCCATTACCCATGAAAAAAGAACGCACTTTGGAAGTTTATTTAGTTAGAATGGATCCACTTGCAAAGCCTATGCAGGTAAGCCTCTTGTTTATGTACAAAACTGATTCATGTGGCATTAACAATGAACCTGAGTTCCTTTACATTTTTTAAATTTGTAAGTACAATAAGCGAATCCAACAAGCTTTAGTTTTCTGGTATGTGTTCTGAAGTCCTACTTAGAAAGCCTGAGGAAGACTATACATACCTTCTTACATTTCTATCAGTTTCAAGGAAGATATTGGTAATTTCTTTATGGTTGTGTTAATAAGGCTTCTTAATCTTTAAAATGCTGTCCTCATTTTTTATTTTAGTGTTGCTATAATGAATTTGTATGGTTATAAAAAAAATATTTATACACTTAATCCAGACTTACTTCCTCAGTTTCTTAGCCTCAAAAGGCAAATATTGGTAATAAGTGGTGCAAAAAACCCCATGACTACATATATTAGGTAGTCCTGAATTCTTCTATGCTATCACTTAATAGCCAAAAGAAATTTCAGATGAGATTTTTTTGTAAAGAGCATCTCTTGCCTTTTTTAGGAAGGATGGCATTATACACCTTAGAATGGCATGAAACTATGTACATAGGTTATGGTAACAAAATCATGATTAAATGGTTCTAGCTGTACCTTATAGGGTAGGCGAGGATAGGTGAAATAAGTAAGACATGGGCAGTTAGGCAGACTTGCAAAAAGGCTTTAACGCCTGAAATCAGAGTACTATAAGAAGGAAGGTGGGGGAAAAGGGAGTGTTCTCAAAGGGAGTATGAGTTAGGGAAGTCAAAGATAAACGGACATGTATTAACTAGTGGGAGATGAGCCTGCTAGAAATTTAGTTTTTTGTGAGAACAGGCTTGCATAAGGGACACCTGTATGACATGTGAGATGGTTATGTAGGAATGAATAGAGTTTGGGAAGAGTACGAGTTCAGCAGAGCTTTTGTGAGTCTAAATAACTATTAAGACTTAAGGAGATACCAAACGCATGCTGTACTTGGCAATTAATTACAAAGTTACAATACCTTATTTCTAATTAATCCTGTCTTTATTTATTATGCAAATAACAGGTAAGAGTCCCGTGTGGAGTTTCATTACAAACTGCAGGTGTACTGCACTAAGGGAAGCCACAGAGAGGTTTTCTTTGACTGTTAATCATCAGGTTCTCTCTCTGCATGTGAAATTAGAATTCAGTCTTTATCCATTGCCTGCCATTGCTTTTTGCCCCAGTAATACTTTATAAACAACTTGTGTTGTATTCCAAATTTAAGAATCTAATAAATAGCATGCATACTATTTAAATGCTTAAATAAGTAGGTGCTCTTGAAATATAAATCTAAATAATTGGTGCTGTTAGTCTTCTTACGGAGAAAATAAAATAACATTACAAAAAAAGCATTGTATAAACTAATAAATGTAGTATTCAAAGTGTGCGTGTTTGTATGAGTAAAGTTGTGAAGGTAACTAGTATGTTTTTCAGTAGCTGTCGGAATTTGCATTAGTTGATTTACATACTTTACACCTTAAGTTCAAGAATCTGAAAGAAGTCCGTGAAGTATGCTGAACATGTGATAAGTTGTTTGGGTTTTTTCTTATGCATATTTGTTCTCTTAAGAAATTAAGTGACATTGTATTTTTTTTTAGTACAAAGTAGTTGTTCCCAAAATTGGAAATATATTGGATCTTTGCACAGCATTGTCAGCTTTGTCTGGTGTTGCTGCAGATAAGGTAAGAGTGATTTCTTATATGAAGTACAACAATGAACATTTGAGCACATATTAACCTGATTTAATGATGTATACTCCATTTTCTTTTTAGATGATTGTTACTGATATATACAATCACAGGTTCCACAGGATATTTGGCATGGATGAAAATCTAAGTAGTATTATGGAACGTGATGACATTTATGTGTAAGTACAGATAACATGCTTCATGTCTCTTTGCAATTTTTTTTTAGTTATTTGCAAAGGATTAAAACCTAAACATAAGATAAAGACAAATCTTGGGGATTTTATTATTTTTTAATTTTTCCCCTTTGTAGCCTTTTAAATGACAGTTGTCCTTTCTATTTCTGATTGTTTTTCTTTTAGATTTGAAATTGCTATCAATAGAACAGAAGATACAGAACAAGTTATAATTCCTGTTTGTTTAAGGGAAAAGTGCAGGCACACTAGCTACAGCCATAGTGGTTCTTCACTCTTTGGTCAACCTTTTCTCATAGCAGTGCCTAGAAACAATACAGAAGATAAACTGTATAACCTGCTGCTGCTAAGAATGTGGTAAGGTTATTGTTTAGAGAAAAACGCATTTCTTATGAATAATGCTAATGGTTGGAATCAGTAAGCATTTATTTTTACATGTATTGCTAACAAACTGATTAGAGTACTTAGTCTTTTATTTGCTTTCTGTTAAATACATTAAATCTAAAATTTTAGCCACTTGAGATATGAACTAGTGTGAATTTTAATTTGATTTTTTGTTAGCATGACCTCATCCAAAAATTATTTGAGAAGACGATAGAGAGTCAATCTGTATTGTCAGTTTAGGGGAACTAATTCTGCTGTATCCATAGGTGTTTGTTAGGGCTTGGTAAACTGGAAACGTTTTGCCAATTATTCTGCTATGGTTATACCTCCTGAATGTACTATACAAGTTTATATACTAATTTATGTTGCAAAATATGGTAGACACTTTCTGAAACTAGACTGGAATAAGTGTCATTATGTGGAAGAAATTAGAATCATATAACTGCCAATTTAAATTTATGCTTCATTTTCTGTTGATGTAGCTTTCTCTGTAAATGAACCCATATGTTTTTTTGTGTAAAAAATATGGTTAATGAATAGTTAAAGAAGTGATTTCTGGACAAACAGAGACTAATACCAAAAATCAAGTTGTATAAAATCAAGTAACTGCCAAAAACATAAGATCATAGATGAGCAGAATTTCAGATGTGCCTGTAACAGTAGATGTTAGGCAATAAAACTATTAATTCTGAATAAATCAGAAAGTAGTGCAGGAATACAGTACACTAGAAAGGATTTGCTGTAACCACTTTATTGTCTGGCTTGAACAATGTAAATATTTAAAAATCCATTGATTCTAACTGTTGCTTTCATTTGTTACATTTAGCCGATATGTAAAAACATGTACTGAAAGCGAAGACACCGAAGGATCCCTACATTGCTGTAAGGACCATGGTATCAATGGTAATGGCCCAAATGGAATACATGAAGAAGGATCTCCAAGTAAGACTGGAATATCTACACTTGTTTAGTATTTTATGTTCAATTTGAAACTGAAGTTAATTCTGTAGTGTCTTTCAATTATTGTTATTCTACCTCATTTCTTCCTCCTTATTCTTCCAATTGTTTCAGGTGAAATGGAAACAGATGAACAAGATGATGAATCCAGCCAGGATCAAGAACTTCCTTCAGAGAACGAAACCAGCCAGTCAGAAGACTCAGTTGGAGGTGACAATGACTCTGAAAATGGATTATGTACTGAGGAAACTTGCAAAGGTCAACCACTCACGGGACACAAAAAGCGATTGTTTACATTCCAGTTCAATAATTTAGGCAATACTGACATAAACTACATCAAAGACGATACCAGGCATATTAGATTTGATGATAGGCAACCTAGGCTTGATGGTAAGTCATGGGGAACAGGTTGGGCAACATTTGATTCTGATACTTTTTTCTGACTCCACTTGCATAGAATAGTGTTTCATTCTCTCTTTGTGCGATTTGATATATCTTTTTTTCCCATAGTAAATTCTGCATAAATAATTAATTTGTTATTGTAATTAACTCTTAGAAATGCAGAAATTGTGTGTGCTTCAATTTTTCATTTTAAATTCATGATAGCATTGTTTAATTCATTTTGAAGAGTGTTTGCCCAAGGTTAATACAATTTCACGTAAAGCAAGAAATAATATTAAGAAAAAACATGTTTTTAATCTTAGAAAGATCTTTCCTTGCTTTGGATTGGGATCCTGAATTGAAGAAAAGATATTTTGATGATAGTGCAGCAGAGGTAAGCTGTTTATTTTGCTCCCCTTTCCAGCACTAATAAAACTTAAATGTGAAAAATACAACTTAATTAATGTGACATAAGAGATTGTAAGTCTTTAAAAGAGGAAGCTAGTGTATCTTTTTTTCACGTTACTCATAGTAATTGTGTTGTCATAAATAAACTTCATTTACACATCTAAGTAATTAGCAAATCTGAGGCTTACTAATTTGGAAGTAAATCTGAAGCTGTGAAAACTTTTTGCTTGAATGGTTTCTGATCAGTTTTTCCATATATAGGAGCTTTGTAGTTACTGTTTATAGTAAGACGACATCACTAAAATGAGTTTTGTTTCATTTGTTCTCTTAACTCAAGACATACTTCTCTTTAGGATTTTGAAAAACATGAAAGTGTGGAATATAAGCCTCCCAAAAAGCCTTTTGTGAAATTAAAAGATTGCATTGAGCTGTTCACAACAAAGGAAAAACTAGGTGCTGAAGACCCATGGTAAGGACAAAGAATTAAAATCATTATGTTCTATGGTGTATTTCTCAAAACGTAATCAAAAACACACTTGAACATTAACAGAGATACCTAATTGATTTTTTTAATGGTATTTTGAATGTTGTCATTTCAAGTGTATTTGAAAATTCTCAAAATCTTTTTTATTTTGATCCATTGCTTAACTAAAATTGTTACCGTATACAGAAGGTTATGTTTGTATGGGAGATAATTAATGCATTCAGAATAAGGACAAAGGGTAGATCCATAAGATATTCTAGTCTGTGAACTGTGATCCACAGCAAATGAATAATATTGTGCCAAATCCAATGCAGTGGTTTAAACAAATATTCATTTCTGAGATGAGAAAGGTTGGTGCATACTGAAGTTTTTTTTATGCATATACATAACTTGCCTTGCATTGATACATGAGATAGGGATGTGCTTAAACAACAGGTTTATGGGATGGGGGATGTCTGTAGTCAGTAGAACCTCTCAAATTCATGTTCCAACCATTAAGTTTTTGGCAGAGACTTTTATTCTGATTCATGATTCTTCCAAATTATGATTTGGAATCATATCTGAATATTCACAATTAATAGGATGTTCCTGTAAGATCCTTCTTCTCCAGGAATTTTCTAGCAGATAGGAATTCTTCATCAACACCTGAAGCTCAGAATTAAGTTTGAAAAGAGGGTCCGCCACTTTTTCTCTTGTGGATACGTAAAAGTTTTGGAAACTTCCAAACTTTGTCACCAGAGATCCTCCTTTATTTGGGCAGGGGAGGGGGCTGACTTACAAAGTCTCATTTTTTTCTGGGTTGGCTAGATTATACAACACTGGATAGACTATTTGAGATACCGTATAACTCAAGTATGGTGAAGCACTTCCATTTTTGCAGCATATTTTAAGCAGAGTATTTAAACTACAAAATACAACTACTGAAGTCAAGCAGTTGCTACTAGATATGTCTCACCAGAGGTCATTAATCACATTCTTTGTTCATTTGCCAAGTCTTCACAGGTCTAATCTACGAGACCTTGTCATCCCTAGTCCAGTGCTATCTGTATTCCAGATATTCTAAGCCAACTGGGAAAACAGTTCTCCAATTACAACCTGCCCTTACAGTTCTTCTAATTTCTTTTCTTTATCTGATGTTGCTATGTGAAGACACTTGTGCAGTCTTTTTTTAATTAGGGCTCATCTCTTTTTTTTTTTCCTAGATCTTTACTTGTTAGATACCAAGATGTAGAATATGCGTAGACCATTTCACAGAAGAGTTGCTTCCATGCATTGTTCTTACTTACCTTCCTCCCTGAGCCTTAGTTCTTGAAAGATTCAAGTATGCATTGCAGGGAACAGAAATTTATAAGTCACAGCCTGTTTAGTACTTGCCTACTAAGGAGGCAAGTTTTTTTAGTACGGAATTTTTCAGGTTCCAGTAGTCACTGTTATCTGGTTTTAGTGGTAGGTAGAATGGGGTGGGAGATGGATGAATTTGGAAATTTAAAGTTGGAAGAACCATAGTTGTCTGTTATTTATGGCTTTTCATATAGTCAGTTTTCCTGAAGTATTTTCATAACCATTTGTCTTTTTTTGTAAAATATGAGAAAGCTGTGTTTTAACTAAAGATACAGGGACTACTATAGGAGATAAGAATCCTATATTGGGGGGTGCTACTTTTGTGTTTAAAATGCTGTCGAGCTTCACTGTGAGCACGCTTGCACACTAGCACCTCATGTTTTAAACTGGAAGGGATATCAGTGGCATTAGTAACAGGAGATGGAACATCTGTTTCTGTTTCAGCTTTTGCTCATTCAGTTCCTCTCATGTTACTGGCTTTCTCTACAGTAATGTATTTTAACATACATATGGACTGCAGTTATTTTAAATCTGAATTTTTTTTTTTTTTTCTTTTAGGTATTGTCCAAACTGTAAAGAACATCAGCAAGCTACCAAGAAGTTAGACTTGTGGTCACTGCCCCCCGTACTGGTAGTTCATCTAAAGCGCTTTTCCTACAGCAGATATATGAGGGACAAGTTGGATACATTGGTTGACTTTCCAATAAAGTAAGAAACCTAAATATTTTGTAAGTTTGTATTGTAAAAGTTAGCTAATTAGCCCTAGTTAGACTAGGGCACATGTTTAACCCAGCAATTATGTAAAATGGTTTTGTTCTCAGCTTCCATGCGTGGATCCAGTAAACACTGATGACAAAATGCTTGTAGGTGAAAAGTACGAACTTGGAAAAATAATAATACTAGATAAGTATGGAAGAACTCTATCATAGTTTTAGCTAAGATTACTGGTTCCTGTTCCACTCCTCACAGAGTGAGAGATGCACTGTCAGTGTAGTCTGGTGTGTGTGTTTTTTGTGGGGAATATAAAGTAAAGGGCTCAAAGACCACCGAAGTGTGAAATGGTTAAAAATATTATTAACGTGTCCTTCTTTTGGTTGTTTTTTTTGTGTGGTTTTTTTTGTTTTTTTTTTTTTTAAACAGCGACTTGGACATGTCAGAGTTCCTTATTAATCCCAATGCAGGGCCTTGCCGCTACAACTTGATTGCTGTCTCCAACCACTATGGAGGAATGGGAGGAGGGCATTGTAAGTTGATTTCAATATCATCATTCTACATGTCAGCTTTCTTTCCATGTTTATTTTGATTTGAGTACTGATCACTTTGAATCAATGGCATTTTTTAATGGTTGAGGGACAATTTTTTTCATTACCTTGAAATGGTTTCACAGGTATTCTAACACAAAAATCTATATGAAATGAGCTTTTGAGGATAATTGTAGGTTCTTTTATACTTCTAGCTATGCGTATTGTGAAAAGAGAAAACATAAGAGCTCCATAAGAACTACTGTACTCTTACAACTGATTTTGTCTTACTTGTGTGTATTTTTGTACATTGTGCATCTCCTTGAAAGAAGAGAGAAAAATGACAAAGTGATTGAGGGATTTTATTTTGACTGTCCTTTCTCACTATACATTCTCTTTAGAAGGGGAATGTTATTGGTTAAGCTTTCTTTGCTTAAAAAAAAAAAAGTGTGAAAGTATGAGTCTAATAGTGATAATAGGTTTTAGTTAGTTAAATGTCAGGTGTTTGACAGTAACAGACTCTAGCAACTGATTGTATTACATTTATGAAGATACAAAGTCCTTAGACATTGTACTTTTTTGTCCTAGATACTGCTTTTGCAAATAATAAGGATGATGGAAAATGGTACTACTTTGATGACAGTAGCGTGTCCACTGCATGTGAGGACCAAATAGTGGCAAGTACCTTTTGTGTTTCTAATATTGGGACTGTTGATAATGTTTTTTTCTTGAGGGAAGAAAAATGAAGGGTAAATCATGAACCTTGCAGTAAATTTTTATAGGTAGTATTTCGTGTTCTTTCAAAGGGACATGGTTTAGTGGGCATGGTAGTGTTGGGTTGACGGTTGGACTCAGTGATCTTAGAGGTCTTTTCCAACCTTAATGATTCTATGATTCTATGAAAGGACAGCACAAAACAAAAATTGTTTGCTTCGACATGCAAAAATAACTTAGATGAAAGCTTTGAATTTCTTTGTAATTTTACCATGTAGACTTGGAAGCAAAAAAAAAAAAAGGATAACTGGGATTGTAAATGTTTTGTCTGGAGCCTCATGAGCATATTGCACTTCTCTCTTTTACAGTCCAAAGCAGCGTATGTGCTCTTCTACCAGAGACAAGACACGATCAGTGGAACTGGCTTTTTCCCTCTTGACCGGGAAACTAAACAAGGTGCTTCAGCTGCCACAGGCATCCCACTAGAAAGTGATGAAGACAGCAATGAAAATGATAATGATTTAGAAAACGAAAATTGTATGCACACTAACTAATGGAAGAACTAGAAGCCATAAAAGAGACTTTCTTACTGGGGATACCTATTGAAAGAGTGAAATTGCCCACCAAATTAAGAATAAAAATCTGAGATGGGGAATTTCAGATAGCAGAATGTAAATCTTTATTACATTTTAACATGTGCAGTACTTGAAGTGAAACAATAAAAACTTAAACAGAAATTGTCTTTAATGCATTTACAGTCTTGTATTCACAAGCTATATATAGGAAATCACAAATAAACCCCTTTTAAGTTTTCTGCTGCTGTTCTGATGGATTATGTTTTCTTTTGTTTTGGATGTGAGTTAATAACTAAAATGTTAAATCTGTGGACTTCTGACATTTATTTTCTTAGTACTGCAAGAATACTACTGCCAAGACTAGTTTCTGGATGAATATATACATGTTCCTTAGGCTGTCACACAGGCTACAAGTAAAAATGTCATAAATATATAAGCAGTAGTTTTCTTGAGACAGCAAATTTTTGTTTCTCCCTAAAAATTAGTTGTTGGTTTTTTTTTTTTTTTAATTCGGTCACAATAGAAGAAATAGCTTGAAAAGGTGTTTTAACCTTTTGTGATATAGTTGAGCAGCCAGAATATTATGTTCATCTTACTGCTGCTGTGGAACAGGTTCTGGATTTCATGCTGCATTAACAAAAAGTTTTTCAATTAAATGTAAGTATCCTTTGTTGCTTGTTGAAATCTCCTCTGCAGATATAACTCCTGTTATCTTGCTTATAAAACATGCATAATTTTAATCTGGTGTCAGTCCAAAATTTAAAATTGTGCTGTAAGTTCTCTCTCCCCAGTTTTTGTAGTTCGACAGCTTGCAAACTACTCTGTAATAGGGTCAGAGTTGATAGTATTCTGTATCCATAGTAATGAGTGTGTATCGGGCTTAGATGAGAATTTTTTCAATATAACCTGCCTTTAAATTGTTAATGAACAAAATGACTTTAAAGGTAAGCCTGTTAATTTTCTTTGTGTGTTCCTGATGGAATTCACCATAGCCTTACAGCGTATCTGAAAAGGTAACTCATTATAAGAGAATTGGCATTTGCATGTTCAAGTCAGAACCTGTACAGTATATAAGGCATACAAACTTTGAATTGAATTTTGGTTAACTATGTTCAGGAGTCCAGGATGCCAAAATAAGTGTGACAGTTTGAAACATTTTTTAATTTGCTGCTTTCCCTTTGATCTAGTTGGAAGAATGTATTGTTGATTTGTATACAATACTGCCTTTGAGAGGGGCTCTTAAGTGCGGGGGCATACTTCACATATCTACTACCTGGAGAACTGCTTTGTGTCCCACTGTTTAAACAAATAATTTAAAAAAGAAAAAAGCAAAAAGTATGATGTTCTTCACTTGAACTAATCAAATACAATAGGTTATAAATTGTGTATTGTAAATAAAAGTTCACTCTGTGAGTGCACATTTTGGTAAATTATTTATTTATGTTAGCATTAAAAAGTTTAAAAAATTGCATTTGACCAGGATATAAATGAGGTATGTTGGACATGGCTTTGCTTTATACCTTGATATTAAAACTGGTGTTTCATCCTGGTATTTTAAAGCTGCTTTGAGGTTTTTTTTTTTAAATGTAAACTAACCTCCTGCATGACAGAGGTTAAAATTTTGTCTGCACTTGAGTTCACTTGGGTTTACATTTGAAATGCGCATGTTTATTTATACAGATTTCAATAAAGCTATTCAAGGCCTTACTTAGTCTTCCATTTTCTTACAAACTCTTTTCCCACAGTGTTTGTGTAATGGGTAGTCTTTGTCTAAGACTTATATTATTGGTTACAAAATGGCTATTTAATGACCAACACGGAATAAGATTAATAGTATTTCCATAAGTTAGTATATATAAAAGGGATTTTCTCTTGTCATTGTCTGACTCTAAAAACACTTATAAGGCTGCAAAAAAATTGTTTATTGTCATAAAAACCTATTTGTTTTTTGAAAGTAATACTGTAACAATAATCAAGTGGAAAGATACTAACTCTGAGATGGTTGGTGAAATGAAGCAATATATTTAAGATTAGACAAACTGATATGGTGGGGGGAAAATGATACAAGCTTTTGGCTTAAAACGTTATATTTAGGTGTGGAATACAGTAACCCAATATGAAGCTATGTACTAAATAACTTGTGAGTTTAACTTGCTTATTTTAATGAGAGCACTTGAGAGATGAGATTTATCTGTGGAGTAGGGGAAGTAATCCTAGAAGCAATCATCTCTTTGAATAACACACACAGAGAGTCCCCCTACGTTCATACTCCCAGTGGTTTTCCCACATCATGTTAGCCTAGAACCTGCTTGGAAAAATCACGAAGGAGCGAAGGATCTGGTTTGACTTGCCAAAGATTCACTTTGGAATTTGTAGATCAGAGCTTTAGTATCTGATAACTTGGTCTCCTAACACACTTCATTCTCCCTTTGAAAATGCAGAGAGATATATATACATGGGGTCTTATATTTGAAGGAATGTACTTACTTACTAATAGTCAGATCATCCAGATAGAGTTTAAAAGGGTGTTGATCAAAGTAACATTTAGTTAGGAAAAAATTACACAGATAGTTTCTAATTTTTTTTTTGTTGTTATGGCTAATTTGGCTTCCAAGATTACACACACAGAGTTTGTAAGCTTCCTAATCAGATCTAAAAATCAGTAACTTTTCTATATGACTGTCTCAAAGGTTTCTGGGAATTCAGCCAAGTTGTGAGTTTCATAAAACTATTATGTATTCACACATAAAATATGATAATTCATCCAGTGTGGACATGCTTAAAATTAAAACTACAGAAAGCATATTATTCTTTACAGTGTCTATCAAAAGTTATGTCACTCAACTAGTCATTTATATAGAGAAGAAAGAGGGTCCTAACATCTCTTTTTATGAATCGTGTCTGATAAAAATCTGCAGTATGCTTTCGTTTTTCAGTTACATTGACAGCAAGCTTTTTGATGGCTATAAGTATCAGTGTAAACCCCAAAATGATAAGATACAGTTAACCTTCTTGCTGTGAGAATCACAGAAACAAAACAGAGTAGGAGGCAGAAGACAGCTCGCAATTCCCAGTTACTCCACAGATTTTGTGACAGCAATACATCATTTAAAGCTGGGAGGGAAGGAGAGGTGAAGAGATACTGCCCAGGACCTCTTGTTTTAGTTGGCTTCAGACAGCATTCTGGATCCTTCGGTGCAGATCAGTTCCCTGATCTCTTCTATCACCCACTAAATTAAAGTCCTACCTCCCTTCCTGGCACGCTGAAGTGAAGTTTGCAACTTACAGTTGAGATGACAGACAAGAAAAGCTGTCAGATACTACCCTGCCAGATGATGTAAAAACATCTCCTGCATCTACAGCTAGTTGCTAATAGGAAGACCGCAACCCCATCTAGCTTTCCCAGCAAGTTAGCGCTGCGTTATGGAGTGCACTGTACTTTTTTAAGCACTTCGAAATCTTTAGAGGGAAGTCAGTACGGCAGGCAAAGAAATTAATTGGTGAACCCACCAGTTTTCTTCGAAAATTATGCTGCCGCCTTTTATGTCAGACTCTGTAATTTCAGGGTATGGTTTCTCATTGTTTCTAAGTACTAGTTACTTTGACAAAGAAAATGACTATAAATGTAGTGAAGCGATTAATATGAAAGCTATATTTCATAGAATAAGCATATTCTTAGTCTGCAGACAAATTGCTCTCTTCAGATTTTTTTAGTTCTTTTTCCTTGGGGGGTAAACAAATTGTGAAAACAGTTCCACTTCCTTAGTTCCAACATTGCATGCTTTACTGGCACCGCGTGCTCCTGAGGCAGGCAGAGAGACCTGTCTTACTGAAAAGAAAGTAAATCTTGGAATAGCACAGACACCCCAGAAGCGTCCAAATGTGACAAATTTATGACCAATTATCCCATTAACTAGGGAATGAACTGGGTTACTATATGCCAGGTAGCATTAACCGTCATCCTGGGCCAAATAATGCAAAAGCTGATACAGGACTCAAAAGAATTTACATCAGTCAGTATGGTTTTTTGAAAAGTAAGTTTCATTATTTGAGGGGGCAGTAATTGAAAAAGAGAGTTGATAAAGATTATAACATAGGTGCACCTAGAATTATTTAAGTGCTTGGCACTTATCACCCTCAGTATCACATTACTCTCATTAAAACCTGAGTGTTATGCAGTATCACCCGATACAAAGTTTAGGAACCGACCAACAACCTCAAAATAGTTTCCATCAGGAAATCATTGTGGAATAGGGGTGTTATTGGAGAAGTTAGTGGCACTTGGTCTTAAATTAATGGTTTTATTCAGTGTGTAAAATATTCAGATCATAGCTACAGAAGGTGGAAGGTAGTAACTACCCCTAAATCCTGGCAGCCCTCTTGGACAAGCAGTTCAGCATAGGCTCCCAGTGTGAAACAGCAGCATAAGAACTCGTCCTTGGATACATAAGCAGAAATAAGAAGTTGACTTAATCTTCCCAGGTCTGTGGTAAGGATCCTGGGAAAATACGCCATTTGAGTTACTACCTTTTAAAAGTTCAGATTGTAACCTGGGAGACATTATAGAAAAAAAGTTACAACCCCAGAGTAAATACATTTGCACTAACAGATAGGAAGAAGAATTGTTTCCTCAGAAAGACTACTCGGAAGCACCTCAATTTGCGTGCAATACCTTACGAGGGGGGAAATAACTGTGTGAGGGGGGTCTTGGAGTGGAGAGAAACATTCAAAGAACTAATGGTTCAAAACTGAAACCAGACAATCTGAAAAGAGAGATAAGCGTGGGAGTCTCTTACGCCGTTAGTTTTTAAGAAGAGCGGAACGAGCAGCCGAGGCAAGTGGTGGGTGCTGGGTTGCCCCTGGGCTGGTGCTTCCCTGGGCTCAGGAGGGAGGCAGCCCAGGGGTGCGATGGTCCTTCCCCTGCCGGGATGGAGACAGTCTGAGCCATCTGCCTCGGCTTTGAGATCTATAAATCCGAAAGTACCCTGTTCTTCTCAGAGGAATGCTCCTCCCTCTTCAGACCTAATGGCACCGCCCAAAAATCACTTAAAAGTTTTGAATGGAGGCCTGGATCTCTTAAGTGTTTGCTCTGAGCTCAGCACGGTTTGAGGGAAGGCCTTCACTCCCTAGTGTTATAAGAATGCGTTAATATGGGAAGAAAA